CCCCCCCCCCCTCCCCCAGCTGAAGAAAGGAGTTGTTTATAAACAAAATGGTTGTTTATAAACATTGGTTTCTTCAGTATATTTGCTCGAACTAGTTTGTCAGCAACTGCTTCTTACCTCCAATCTTGTGCCATGGAAGCTGCCATGATGGAAGGTAACAACGCATATATGAAGTACATGCAAACACACAAGCACACAAAAGTTTCGGATGGCACAGTGTCCATTGATCAACTACCTCTGATCAAAGTGGAGCCCAAATCCAAAAAGTCCTTCAAGGAGTTCTTTCAGGTCATCCGCAATGTGTCTGATGTGGATGTGGCTGCTATTCGTTCAGTGATGAGTGAGGCATCACCAAAATATGCTCATCTACCTGCAGTCTTTAGCGTCTGCATCTGCAAGGTATGTTCTTGTAGTGGTTTCTGTATGTGTTTGCTTGCATGATTACTTCAATGTCATTTGACAACAAGCATATAGCTTTTTGCAGGTGGTATCTGTATTTGATTACTCTTGTTTACTTTGGCAGTTTGCATGTTTATAAACACTGACTACTGTTTATAAACACACCACTTCTTCATTGATGAAGTTACCTTGATAGTGACTGGCTCCAGCTCAAGTCTGTATCAGTGTCATCATGGCGCCCAAGAAGGTGATGTTTGTGGCTATGGGTTCTGAAGTAGAACCTGGGCGGTTTTCGTTGGATCTGCAGACGGTGGACCCTGTCATCTACCGCCCAGACCCAACTACTGATGCTGAGCCGTCAGTGCCTGTGCCCAACGCACATGAACTCCACCAGGACATCGTCAGTGGCCGCAAAGCAGCGTGTGAGTCAAAACAACAACGAACACCGAGACAGATTCAAGCGCATATTCACTATGTCCAAAGAAGCTTGAATTTAGCTCCTGGCATTTCTGGCCAGTGGTCTCGTCAAGCGCAAGGTAGAACTGCAGGCTGCATTGACACATCTGAAGAACTTACAAGAAGTGCACCACCTTGAAGACATGGGCGGTTGTCTGCAAATGATTAAATCCGCCATGCAGAATGTCAATGCAGCTTTGCGCTTGTAGATAGCATGAACCTCCTCTGGCATGAACCTGGGCGTATGGCGTATGAAAGATTTCATGCAGTCTATGTGCAATGTTTTTGTGGAAGTATATGCATATATATATATATATATCCATATATATATATATATGGGCGCGTTTCATGGTATTATATCTTATCCATTACTTCTCAGGGGGCCCCGAAAAGCACGCGCGCCCATATATATATATATATTTGCATCATCATGATGTTCTTTGTTCGAATCGAAAAGTTGCCAACGAGTGGTAGGCAAAAAGGAAGTAGGAGTGGGGAAAGCAAACTCACGAGAAAAATACTCAAGGGGACAAGCAATACTGTTTTGAATGGGAAAAGCTAGAAAAGACAGGAATGCCTACTGTAAAACAGCATGAGATTGCCGGCCAGTGGGTGAAGTAATCTAGATCCAAACCTTCTGAATCTAAATCGATTGAGATGGCAAGACATCAAATGCCTGCAAATCGGTCTTGAATGTTCAGTCACTTCTAGCAAGTGTGTAATCCCATGTAATCCCCACATACTTTAAAGCATCTCAGAACAAAGAGAAAACGTGTTCTCCAATTTTCCTCTGCATTCCTAGTTTTTAATTGTCCCAAATGCTTAAAAGTGCGTTTGGGAATTAATCCTACATAGACGTGCTCCACTCACACGGGTCCCATAAGAAGTCCACACTAACCTGGCATCAAGTCTGAATCAATTCTGAATGATTGGGGTACTGTTCCAATGATTGAATCTAACTCAAATCTTTGTGGACAATGGGGGGCTAAGGGGCGTGTGGCCCAAACAAGCACAACCCCCATGTGTTGGTGGCCGTGGATAAAAGAACACGGACCCGGTGAGGAGAACCTTTCAACAAAGGAGCTTGAGGTTTTGATAGCTTCTCGGTTGTAATTTAATTCAACGAATCTGTTTTCTTCATCGTTTGATTGATCATTCATAAGCTGAAGTGACATCTGCATTGGGCCTGTTTCTCGAAGGAAGTGATGTCGGGTAGGACATCTTCTATGATGTTCTATGCCCTGCAATGGTTGTCAGTGCATGGCCAATGGTTAGGTTAGGTAAAGACTTTTGCTGTAAAACCATTTTGTCAAAGAATGCCAGCTTCAGCTCCCGCAGCAAAGTACAAAGCATTGGAGCCACCAGTCGAAAACTGTCCCGAGCTGATTCAAATAGAATCAATTGTTGTTTCCTGTTGCAGTTGCACAGCCAAGTGCCAAGTACGACAAGCACCCCCGCGGCCTCAAAGTAGTGCTTCGTTCATGACGATATGCACGAACCTGTGGCATTGACTGCTGCCAAAGGATTTTGAGGCCCATCAGTTATATCACCGATCCACTTTGCACCGGTTTGCATGGAGGAAGAATGTCCACAGCAATAAACCCAACGAACAAAAATTGAGAGGTTTTGCATTTGGCAATCACCTTCTGCCATTTTCACATTCATGCAGCCATAAGGCCACACAAACCATCACAAGGCAGTCGGTCGTGCGGCTGCCGGGCGGCTGCCGCCGTCACCGAAAGGTCACCGTCAGCCGCCCGGAAAGCCTGAAAACCTGAGATTGAGTCCCGTCCAAACCTTTTTGGATTGCCTTAAAATGTGGCTCCTCTCCTCTCCTCTCTCATGAAAGTGTTGGGTCCACTCACCCCGCCCCCAAAAAAAAGAAGAAACACCTTCGGTGGATCTGCATTGGCTCGCGCAGACAGCAAGGCCTGTGGCAGGGGCTCAGCTCCAAGAATCCTACACCACCGCAACCATGACGCAGCGTGCGCAAGCATGAGACCATGCATTTGGTTTTTGCGATATCAGTTCTTGGAATAGAAAAGAGGGTGGTTTGTATTTCTGAGATTCCAAGGAAAATCAAAAAAGCTACAATTTAACAAACAGAGTTCACACTTCCGCCATGGGAAATCTGGCTGAATGCAAACCAGCTTTGTCGCAGCTGAGCAACTGGCATATAGAAGGGCAACTTCTCTAATGCAGGACTTCTATCCCTCTCACAATTATTGCTGTACTTCTTCAGGTGAATACTTCCCCACTACTATCGCACCTATCCAAACACTCATACCGTCTCATTACTTTCAGGTTGAATTGAAAGATTGCAATATTGCAAGTGTCATATTGCTGAAGTCCCACAAGTCCCACGGAACTCGAATCAAACTCCATGAGCCACGAGTAGCAAGAAATGATTTGGCCATGTCAGGCTTTCCCGGCCGGCCTTGGAGGCGGCTACGTGTCCGTTCAACACCTGGGCGCAAAAGGCGAGGGATGCCGGGAAATGCATCTTGTTATACTTCACGAATGGATCATGTCATAATCTATAATCAGCAGTGATCCTTTCCCACCTGAAACATATCTGCATCACCAGTCATCTTTGCCCTGGTGTTCAAAGCTGAACATGAGAGGATTGTCAGCTGAACCTGTTCGGATGAATCAAACGAATCAGTCGAAGTGATTGGAAAAACGGGGAACAACCACCGCTCCGACACTGCGCTTCCTTCCCAGTCTCCCTTGTGGTTGGCACAGCCCAATGAAGGGGAGTACGGTGCCATCGATCTCGCCAATCCAATGGACCTCCATAGACCCGTGAACCTGCTGTCAAATCCCGTGGAGTTGTCTACGTTCCAAACTTCGTTTGCCATACCCTTGTGGCAACAATTACACTTGGTGTGTTTTTCTTTTGGCCTGTTTCAACGTTTTTAGAACATAAAACGTGTTTGTAGTGCATCAAAGCATATGTAGCATAACATGCATCATATGAGTTCTTGCTTAGCAAACTGATGCAAAGTCACAGCAACTGAAGCATGTTGGTTAGTTTGCTGTTGACTCTGTGCAAAGGAAGTCTGCCTGCTCAAGCATCTCACACAAAGAATAATAATATGTGCGGTGGGGTGCGTGGTGCCATGATTTGGTTAGGATCTCCAGCTGCAAATTGGGGCAGATTCGAGGGTTGGCCTTTCGAAGAACTACAAATCTCTCACAGCGGCCTTGCGAAGTAATTTTCTCATCTGCCATCCATCGCTTTAGCAGCAAAGCCTGTCTCTGTTTGAAGTCCATTGCCAAACATCCATGCGTGGGGTCTGCGCAGCTGATGGGGTTATAGAGTCTGACAATGGGCAGCTTTCCACCACTAAACGGTTCACAGGTGCCATGAAATGTCACTCCAAGAAATCCATGACCTCTGAGCAAACTGCCAAAGTTTCAGTTGCACCTGCACGTGCTGCAAAATGCAGGACCTTGGATACCGGCGTCATATACAAGAGTACATGATATAATTGTTTTCGATACGTTCAAAACAAAAACAAGAAGACGTTCCAATACATATATATATATATGTATTACAGTATATATAAATGTTAGAAACATATCGAGACCGGGTCAGCATGAGGCCACTTGTTTGGAACGTCGGCTTTGTAGAGAGCATTGTTTGGTGTGCAAGGGTGCATGTTATCATGGATCTGTCTAGTAGAATATGGCAGTCAAGGACGATCAAGGTCCCCCACCACCTCCCTCCGTCCCATGCAAAAGCTTGGCACTATGGCTGGACAATCCTAGTAGTCCTAGTGATTTCCATGATTCTTGTGCGTTCAAGCTTTTGAGATTCGTGGTTTCTTGTTTCGTCCTAAAGGGTCGCCTTTCCCTGCTAAGCTTTCCCGCGGTCTGCTGATTGAGGTCCTTGGCTGCCAAAGGGGCCTGTCAACGCACAAGATTCGGTCTTCGAAGGAAATGACATCCGGACTGGTGAATCAATTCACCGATCAGCAAGCTTGGCAACATGAATTTGCAACGTATTTTTTCTTTCAAAGTGGAGGGGCACGATATGCAAGTTTATGCCTTGCCTGATTACTGTTAGCGGCACCCACCGCCATAGGGTTTGTATTTGATCCATAAAGTAGCCTTTGACTTTTCAACTTGCTGAAATGATGGGAAATCCGCCAACGAGGAGAACCTTGGACCTTTGACATCTGTGACTAAGGATTCCTCCCTCTTACACCGCGCCTTGGCATCAAGCAAAAGCTCCACGACCTGTCAAAAACAGAGTTCTCTCATGAACACCTGAAGGGTTGTGAGAAAGATATGGACAAAGGATCACCCAGGAACGCAAACTGGTGAAGTAGCTAAACTTGGGCAGGCTTCAGAGCCTGTGCAAGTTCTTTCCTTTCTTTCCTTTCTTTACTTTCTTTACTTTCTTTCTTTCCTTCCTTCCCTTCCCTTCCCTTCCCTGCCCTGCCCTGCCCTGTCCTTCCCTGTCCTTCCCTGTCCTTCCCTGTCCT